CACTAACCGACCTCCTGGTTGGAGGTTTCCTTGCATGGGCAAGGCCTTTCCTACGATTTCACCTTGGACAATCGGAGAGTGACACTAATAGTGCAAAATCCAGCCCACCTAGCCAGGGTGACGGTGGAAGCACTGAACAAGGCTTTGTCGGCGTTTGGACCTCTCCTATGGCAGTCGATGGCCAACAGTGATAGCCCCTCACCAATAACAGACCCCCAAGCACTCAACAACCATATCCTACAGAGCTTCCAATCACTCCCCTTCTTTCCAGATCTGATAAAAGAGGACCCAGCGGCGGAGCCGGTCTTCGTTCCGATCAACCAACCAACCAACCCGTCATCTTCTGCTCCAAAAAGAAAGAGCAACTCACCACCCCTCCAGAACATACAGAAAGGAATCTCCAAAGCACTGGAGATACTCAAGAAGAAGAATGCCTCAGAAGAGCCGAAGCAGTCTTACCCAACACCAAGGACGGACTCGCTACTCCTCGACTTAGTAAGGTCGATAGAATTCAGCACGGAAGCAAGAGAGATAGTAGTGGTCCTGTGCCCCAAATCAATGAGCAAGTGTGGATTGAGCTTAGTCTCAGCCCAAACACACGGACCATTGAAACCACTGCTAAACCTAACCCCAATCCTGAGTTTAAAGAGGAAGTCACCACCTCCCCAACTGCCAGGTCTACCAGGACCAATGAGCCCTTGTGAGGGAACTCACCAATCACCCACAACTCCAATGATGAACTACATCATATGGAATGTTAGGAGTGGAAAAAATGCCGAGTTCAAACGGCGCTGTTTAGAAATGGTGAGAATGCGCAAGCCTGCAATGCTAGTATTGCTCGAAACCAAGATGGCAGGCCACCAGTCTTTAGCCCAGCTACTTGAGTTTGACAAGATCATCCAGTCTCCAGTCGTAGGCCCATCTGGGGGTATTGTGTTTATGTGGAAAGAAGAGATCGTGGCTGTGGAAGAAGTGGCAAATACCCCCAAGGTATCCACGCAATGGTGAAGGTAATCATAGACCACCCTCAATGGCTCTTTTCAGCTATTTATGCTAGTAACCTCTTAACAGAGAGAAAGCTCCTATGAGAGTAGTTAATCACAATTGCTAACAACATACAAACAAACTGGTTCATAGAAGGAGACTTCAATGAAGTCTTAAAGTCCAGGGACAAGTTTGGGGGTAACCCTATAAACCTAAGCCGCATCAACCTATTCTGGAATTGCATAAACAAGTGTAACCTAATAGACCTAGGGTATAAAGGGAGCAAATACACTTGGACTAATAAAAGGTATACCAACAAAACCTCCCTAATTCTAGAAAGAATAGATAGGTATTTTGCCAATGAAGGTTGGATAGAACAATACCCTGAGGCTACTGTACTACACCTACCTAGGAATAAATGGTGTCACCTCGAACTAAAACACATAAACAAAAGAAATAGCTAGTAATCAGATTAACTTACATTTTTATGGAAGTATTTTTTACACAGAGAATCATATTGTGGAGATTTCATATCTGAATAACATAACATCCGAAGATACCCACATTCTATGAAGTTCACAAATTTTTTTTCATGGATAATTAGGAATACTTCCACAATCCAAACACAAAAAGCGAAAGGGAAGCCAAGTATAGTATAAATGTCCTTGTCTTTATCTTTCTCTTTCTCTTTCTCTTTCTCATTCTTATTGGGCTTCAAACAACTCTTTAATGATTTTACTAACGTTTCATAACAAAGAGATCCCCAGTTGAAAGAATACTAGAGTTCATTGTCATCTACAATTTTCATTAGCTGCTCGGACACATTCCGATTCTTTTGCTTCCCCATCAAAACAGATTCAACAAAATAAATTGTTACCAACTTCACTGCATCATCATCGCTACCCACAAATGATGCAGATGTACCATCTGGGTGACTAGTAGGAAAATTAAACAAATCGCCTAACTCAATTCCATCTTTTCTGGGGAAGTAGAATTTCGAAAGCCTATTCTTTTTTTCACGTAAAACTGTGAAGTCCACTAAAGAACAACATTTTAAACTAGTAATTATATGAAACACATCACGTGTAAACTGTACTTCATCGTCAAAAACCTTGGATGTCATTGAATTAGGGTCATTGCTTACAATTTCTGAAAGCAACAACAATGAATAAGTTTAAAATAGAACTTCACACTTTGTAATCGGAAAAAGTTTCCGAAAATACCATCCCTCAACTTTTTCCATTGCCTTTTCGACAAGAAACTTTTTATTGTTTCCTTATACTGTAAATCTCCTTTCCAATAGCTATCCGAATTACGCCAAATATCAAACTCAAAAACACGATCTCCTTCCATTAGCACACTACAAAGAAGGAAAAACATCATAAAAAATTAGGACTAAAATCCAGGACCTAAGTAAAATGCATCTTAAAGTTAAGGACTTACAAGTTCAAAAGTTAAGGACACTTGGTCCTGAACTTCAAGTTTAAAGTTCATAAGTTAAGGAAACTTGGTCCTTAACTTAGAGTTCCAAGTTAAAAAGTTAAGAACACTTGGTCCTAAAGTCAGAGTTCCAAGTTCAAAAGTTAAGGATACTTAGTCCTGAACTTCAAGTTGCAAGTTCAAAAGTTAAGGACACATGGTCCTAAACTTCGACTTCTAAGGTCAAAAGTTAAGGACACTTGATCCTTAACTTTTATAGAAGCACAGTTAACTAAAAACTCATAAACACAGTTAGCTTATGAAGTTGTACGACTATTGTTATGAAATATCCTTACATAATCAAATATATTGATTGAGCCACAAACATATTTTAATACAAAAAAAGCTCTGAATAACTTTCTAACAAAAATTCGCTCCTTATTCCACACCGAATCAAGTTATATTCAATATTTTTGAAATTTCACACATACTTGATGCCAAACACAACATTGATCGCCATTACAGTTATACAAAAAGAAAAATGCATAAAAGCAAAAAAAAATACCATTTCGTTGGCTCGATGCAGAGAAGATGACAAAGGAGAAGAGATTAAGTGCAACAAAATACACGCAGAGAATCGCTGGGCAGGAACAAAATCGAACAATGATTCGCATTCAAGGAACGAGATTGATACAGAGGGAGGGAAATTTTGGCTTTGAAGCGTATAAAGGAAGTGTTTGGGAATAAAAGAAATAGAAGGAAGGGTAAAAACGTCTTTTCATATTAATTTTAATAGAGTAGTGGCTATTTCTGCCCTGCATTAAAATTGGTGGATAAAAAATAAACACCACCTTATTTAGTGGCTACCACAAGCCATTTTTACCCACGAACACCCTTACTGACCTGGGTGTGTTTGGTTGGTATAACGGAAAATGTTTTCCAAGAAAATATTTTCCTGAAAAACAAACAGTAATATTATTCATATTTCAGTGTTTGGTACGCAAATTAAGGAAAATAACTTCTCAAGAGTATTCCTAAATAATTTAGATATAATAAACATGAAGCCATAAACTTTTGAACCAACAACCTTACGAACCACACGAATTTCATAAACTTCCGAATCGCTAAACTTTTGAAATCGCATACTTTCGAATCCGTAAACTTTCAAACACATAAACCTCCGAACTCATAACTTTGGAACTTATAAAATTTCGAACGTGTAAACCGAAAGATGAAAAAACTAAAACTGTAAATATACTAAAAAGTATTATTTTTTTCTCCTGGGGGGAGGGGGGACAGTGGG